GGATAAAGGACAGCCAAAGGAAAGCGCATCACCTCAATTCGAACCTGTCGATCGGCCCGGTACATACTTCTCTCTTCGGCGAAAATGTCTGTCGCAATGTTTCGCTGGTGGCCGCGTCGATGGTTCCATGTTTCGTTACATTTGCTATTGTTCGCATGATTTGCCGAAGATCCGGTGTGATTTTTCATTAGGATCGGGCGAACGATTCGTTCAGCTTGAGCGGCGTTTAAACGTCGCTTTATATTCTGTGCTGATATGTTAGAGGTTGTAGCTTCCAAGTATAGGATAGTCACAATTAGTAACGATTAAGAGTATTCGAATTCCGTGTATCCTCTTTCGAATCCTCCCGCGTTAGGGCTGGGTCTGCATAGCAACCAAGCTGACACGTTACAGAATGATTTGGCACTGTGTCATCTTCGCCGATTGCTATTTTTCGAAATGGAAGGCTACGATTTTCTTGATGTTATCGACAACTTTGAAGGTCCGCTAGGAAGTAGACTGGACAAACGACGGACAGGATGAGTCGGGGGGGTGGAGGCTGGTTCTACCCTCGCCAGTGCTCCTAACGAACCTAGAAATTCGATTTCCTGCGGAAGGCACATCGATTTCCCATAACCGCTCGCGTAAAGATACCTCGTTCCATCATTTGGTCGCGGGGAACGTAATAAGGTAGAGATGAACGCCGGAGATCTATATACGTACGTACGCCGGACAAGTAGACTAATATTGATTCGATGGAGGAGCGGCAACAGAGAAAAGGTGCAGTGACCTCCGGTGATGGCTCGTGCTCGAATGATGGCTTACCAAGTGGCACTGTCGTCGGCCAAGGCCATTAATGTCGACGTCTCCGGCCGGTCGCAGGCAAATGCGAAAGAAAGGACGAACAGGATCCGCTTCGTTGCCCCATACGGCATACGGTCTTTCCACGCTGTACGTGCCAGCCAATGAGATTTAGGAACGGATTTCTACCATTTGTTCAAACAGATTTCAGTAGATTCGACTTCTGTAGCATAGCTTCGGAGATGGTCGCTATCGTTCTAGGTATTAAATGTAAATTTGATGTTGACGATGGCACCCTTGTAATCAGAAAGGTCTCTAATGCCGTTCCATGCACTTATAGTGACTTATAGTAGACTTGCATAGCTTCTGCGATCGAAGCAGGCGAACTTCTGAAATTCGCGCCAATGACTTACATTTTGTTAAGGAACGGATTTCTACCATTTGTTCAAACAGATTTCAGTAGATTCGACTTCTGTAGTATAGCTTCGGAGATGGTCGCTATCGTTCTAGGTATTAAATGTAAATTTGATGTTGACGATGGCACCCTTGTAATCAGAAAGGTCTCTAATGCCGTTCCATGCACTTATAGTGACTTATAGTAGACTTGCATAGCTTCTGCGATCGAAGCAGGCGAACTTCTGAAATTCGCGCCAATGACTTACATTTTGTTAAGGAACGGATTTCTACCATTTGTTCAAACAGATTTCAGTAGATTCGACTTCTGTAGTATAGCTTCGGAGATGGTCGCTATCGTTCTAGGTATTAACTTTAAATTTGATGTTGACGATGGTACCCTTGTAATCAGAAAGGTCTCTAATGCCGTTCCATGCACTTATAGTGACTTATAGTAGACTTGCATAGCCTCTGCGATCGAAGCAGGCGAACTTCTGAAATTCGCGCCAATGACTTACATTTTGTTAAGGAACGGATTTCTACCATTTGTTCAAACAGATTTCAGTAGATTCGACTTCTGTAGTATAGCTTCGGAGATGGTCGCTATCGTTCTAGGTGTTAAATGTAAATTTGATATTGACGATGGCACCCTTGTAATCAGAAAGGTCTCTAATGCCGTTCCATGCACTTATAGTGATTTATAGTAGACTTGCATAGCTTCTGCGAACTTCTGAAATTCGCGCCAACGGCTTAAATTTGGTTAAGGAACGGATTTCTACCATTTGTTCAAACAGATTTCAGTAGATTCGACTTCTGTAATATAGCTTCGGAGATGGTCGCTATCGTTCTAGGTGTTAAATGTAAATTTGATATTGACGATGGCACCCTTGTAATCAGAAAGGTCTCTAATGCCGTTCCATGCACTTATAGTGATTTATAGTAGACTTGCATAGCTTCTGCGAACTTCTGAAATTCGCGCCAACGGCTTAAATTTGGTTAAGGAACGGATTTCTACCATTTGTTCAAACAGATTTCAGTAGATTCGACTTCTGTAATATAGCTTCGGAAATGGTCGCTATCGTTCTAGGTATTAACTTTAAATTTGATGTTGACGATGGTACCCTTGTAATCAGAAAGGTCTCTAATGCCGTTCCATGCACTTATAGTGACTTATAGTAGACTTGCATAGCCTCTGCGATCGAAGCAGGCGAACTTCTGAAATTCGCGCCAATGACTTACATTTTGTTAAGGAACGGATTTCTACCATTTGTTCAAACAGATTTCAGTAGATTCGACTTCTGTAGTATAGTTTCGGAGATGGTCGCTATCGTTCTAGGTATTAAATGTAAATTTGATATTGACGATGGCACCCTTGTAATCAGAAAGGTCACTAATGCCGTTCCGTGCACTTATAGACTTGCATAGCCTCTGCGATCGAAGCAGGCGAACTTCTGAAATTCGCGCCAATGGCTTAAATTTTCTAATTAAACGGTGCCGGTTAATGGAGGGACAGTGCCGCGGGAAAAAAAAACACGCTCGTGGGCGTCCTGCCGTAACAAGTTAGCTCCGGCGGAGCCGCGATATCTCATCGGAGCAGTCGTCACGTCGGGACTTTGCTGTAGATTAGTTTATCTTATGTAACGGGTTAACGCGGAGACAGAAAAGAGAGTGGCCATTGTTTGGCCGGCCAACGGCTGATGAGAGGGCAACGTGGCGCCCGCATACGTTCGCTCGTTTTTCCGCGCATACTAGAAATGGCGCTCAGACAAGAAACAAGAATGAAAAACACGGTGGAAACACTGAAACGATAGATAGCAGCCGTACACACATGCATACGCTCGGTCGGGTAAATTTCAGTGCGGCCCGTGCAAATAGTCCTCATGCAAATGCTCGCCGCATTCCTCGGATAAAACGGCTGCTCAGATGACGATCGTAAGGCTACCTACACCGTGGTCAAATAACAATGAGTCAGTGCACGATAACGGCTGTAGAATTTTCACGTAGAAGTTCGATTAAAAGTAAGACAGTACCATTTTTTTCTTATCAAACGTATCGATCAATTTACAATCATTTTGAATCCTTCGCGGTTGTTTAGAAAATATGTACAGCGATGTCTCTCTAATTGACGCCCAGATCGCGCACGAAAATGGACAATCCGGGAAGAGAAGATACGATTGTTCGAGCCTCGCGGTTTATTTGTATAGTCCTAAATTGTCCACAATTATGAAAACGAGCCGCGAGGCTCGAACGATCGTGCCTCCTCTTCCCAAAATTATCCAATTTAGTGGACAATCTGAGCGTCAGTAAGGGAGACATTGCCGTACAATGTTTCTGTATCGTATACTAACATAAAATAACCAACGTTTGGTAACCGACCAACATTTATATACATATAAATGTAAGCAAACCGAGATTGGCCACGCAACTACATTGTTACAATCTTGCGGCTTCCTATTTTTGCTTTGGATTACATTATTGACTGGAATGTTGCGCCTGGTGCACCGAATTCGGCGTTCATTCGAAACCGCTACTCTTGCCCTCGTGCACGCGTACGCCAGGTCCGCATTGTTGTATCGAGTCGCAAAGCTGGTCGCCGGCGGGACAGGATTTTCGTCGCCATATACGAAGCGCGGGCTCCCAAACCTCCGACACTGAATACGCATCGGATTATTTTCAAGCCTAATCATCCTCGTGGCAGAGCGCGCAAAGTCGACTCGTTACAACAAATGTTTGCGTCTGGTATATTTCATTCGAAATTGCACGCTGTCCCGGCGCGACGCGCGCGTCGGCGCAAGTTATCCGTGAACCGGGGGGACGAAGGGGATATCTTGCCAAGAAATGTTTGCTTCCCCGAGTCTTCGGGTCGGAACATCAAACTGGCGCTTCTATAAATACGGACACGCTCGACACTGAACCATGCAACGTTGTACAATTGTGTAACAATCAGTTTCCTCTAGCAGACACATTGTGCTTCACGTATTTTCGGCTTCTCCGGTCAACTGGACCTCGTGAACCGAAGTTATTGCAGACATCGAGGCAACTCGAGAGCCTCCGCCGTACACAGCTACACCAGGATATCGATCATTTTTTAATAAGCTCGTCCGAATAAATTCTTTATACATTAAACAACGAGAACCGATTCTATGCACAGTTATCTACAGTCTCCAATGAAATAAAAATTGCGTCGCTAGAATATCACGATGTAAAATTGTTACGCGGCCATTGCGTATAGGGCAATGGGTCAAATATTTCTATGAAATGTGTAAATTATGTTTAGAGCTCACCAGATGCTCCTCCTTTGCAAAAGCGAATCCACAGTCAACGGTCCGTTGCCACATCGCCGCAGTCGTCTCCAGCGGTACGAGGAGCTCGCCCGTTCTTCTGTGGCGCGTTACATGCTCCCCCGGCAGTGTATCGCGTGTTCAATTGTCGCTGATTACATGCACGCTTATTAGAAGCGTGCACCGTGCATACGCGGCCGAGCCGCGCGAGTCGCGGCTGTTAATCGACCGTTCTGCGCACCGCGGGAGAGGGACACCTAATTAACCGTAATTACCGACGTTCTTCGGCCGATCAGGAACGAAGAAAGTAGGCGTTCTGTCGCGTCCCTGTACCGTTAATTAACATCGCACAGTAGACTCTAGGCGCAATCTTTTTGTCGATGCAATGTCTAATTTTAAAAGCGTCGATCTTTCACGTTGACAAGCTACGCGTACTCTAGCGAGTTACCAAAGAGTAGGTGATCGTGGGGTGCGGTCTCGCAATTCAATGATAAATCGAGGACAAGATATGAAGGAAATAAAGCAATAAGCAACTTGGGACGAACGACAAATCCTGAAACTTCGCGGTAAGAACTGGCATCTGCTTTCGGCAGTTTATACTCTATTCAATTTCTAAACGACCCAGGGATGCAAACTCGTAAGGTATAGTGCAGCAGCGATAAAAGTCGGTTGTCGACCGATGGACCAGGTGGAAAGACGTTCATCCTCAATCTTATCTGCTAGAGAAGGATGCGGAGGAGGAGGAGGATTGCCACCGAGCCCACGTGGTCATCCTGGTCTCCGTCCTGGGCCACTTCCACCGATACTAAACGCTCGTTCGCTCCCTCGCGAGTGCTCTGGCGCATAGTTAGGCAGGCACGCGCGCATCTCTCTCTCCCTCTCCCCCTCTCTTTGGCTCTCTCTTGCTCTCTCTCCCTCTCTCCCCCTCCCCCGCGAGCTAGCGAGCGAGCGAACCGGGGCTCCCTATACGTGTACGCACGCGAAGACTTCTTCATCCGCGTTCGTTCATTCAGAGTTCACAGTCAGTCAGTCACCAGCACACCTCCACCGATCAGCTGATCCGGACGACGACGGCAGACTGCGCGTCGCCAACCCCTCCGCCCTCCTTCCCTTCGTCTATAACCGACCCCTCCTCCTCCTCCACCTCCTACACCCTGTCGTCCACCTCCACCACCTCCTCGTGCTACTGCTGCTGCTGCTGCTGCTACTATTGCTACTGGTGGTGGTGCTGCTGGTCTGTTGCCCCCTCGCCCTCCCAGTGGACGATCAGCTGACTGGGAACTGTCAGTCGTGTGCGGTGCGCTGCCATGCCGTGGGCCTTCGAGAACTCACGTGACCGTGGAGCTCTCTCCACAATCCGAGCCGCTTTCTGATCCGCCGGGCCGTCGCGGCGCCTCGGCGAGGTATCTCGCCGACTCCGCGATTTCGGGCCGCCCCGTCAGGCTTTTCCCTCGTCTTCCAGCCGGTTGAACATCCGCCGGAGCGCAGGCAGCCTCCCTCGTGCTCTTCTCTTTGGGACACTTTGTCACCGACGATGACTAACTTGGCTAGCTAGCAACGGTCTAATTCTAATGGAACCGGTAATTGCTGTTCTTATTGCTGCTCTAAGAAAGTTACACAATAGCTCAATCTGAAACGTCCGTCTCCATCCGATTAACCCTGCGAAGGTCGCGACGCAGCGACGCTTTAAACCGTGATCGTTCTCCTTGTATCGTAGGCGTAAACACCGCGAGGATAACCTCGGAACACCGAAGAATCTGCTGACCGCAAAGCGGGACCATCAATTTTGTTGCGACCTGTACACGCGGAATTACTATTCCGCCATCGAAATCGCTGTACGTTGTTTCTCAACCTCTGCGTCTCTTTCTCTCTCGCTCTCGCTCTCGCTCTCGCTCGCTCTTCGGGACTGCGGTCGGAATTACAAACGGGAGAACGCATTTATCCTCTGATCGACGATTAAGCAAAACCAGTATCTAGCATGCGCTCGTGCGCCACTCGTAACGTTCGAAAGTAGCGGCGGGCAAGGTGCATAAGCGGAAAAGAAGATAAATCGTTGCGGGTGTCGAACGATATTGATGACGTTGCAGGCGGAGTGCATCAACGATATTAACGTGATGGGGGTGATGCCTGAAAAAGCGGTCGTTCAGACGGCAGATCGATCCGATGATTACAACTTCCGATGTTGCATTCCCTGGAAGTCTGCCGGCGGAGTCGCCGAAGACGTTGAATAGGTGGTTTCGCAAAAATCGTGGCTTGTTTATAGGTTATCAGAAGAAGATCAGAATTCGCTGAATTACTTCGATTACATTTTTCCGAAGCGGTTTCCGTGGAATCCGCGCGCCTAGATCGTTCTAAACGCGTTCTAAATTTCGCGAGAAGCGCGGACCGTTGATAATAAATCCACCAGTTCCACCGAACTATGCGATCCACGGATCAAGACGATACACGGTTCGCTCGGTTATTACGAATTCCAAAGGCGACGATCCAAAATAAACAGCTAGGAGGTAGCCAAGAACCCTGTTCCAAGAATACCGCCAAGTAGCGATGCCTCGGTTCGATCCGTTCTGCAGCAAGTTTTCATGATCGATCGTTTCGAATCGATGATCCTGTTAATGAAGAAACGCGCGGATCCATTTTCCTGTCACCCCTTTCAGCCTTAACGGACAAAACTGTACAAATTATAAACCGTGAAAATCCCGACAACCTTATTAATTAATTTTTATCGTTTATTGCTCGATGCCCGGCTTATAGCATACATCGCATAATTAGATGGTGCGAGGTCAGAGGTAGGCAGGAAATAGGTTACATGATCTGGTCGTCGAGAGAAAAAAAGGGGCAACGAATTGGTAAATTGATTCTGACATTTGATCTTTACACGCGGTCCAACAATTTCGTTCAATAATTTAACCGTTTTCTCCGTGTTTTATACAGTTTCCTGAATATTCGAGACACCGAGTTCTCGAAGGAAGATACCTGGCAGCGTTTTTTAATGTCCGCGAGGGTTGCTAATTAGCGTGGCTCAGTGTGCATCCGTAACGTCTCTCGTTCGAGCACCACATGTGGCCGACAATGTCTTTATAAAGCCCGGTTCCCGGAACCAGACGCAACACCGTCCAGCCGTCGATGATGTCACTGGAATTTACATGTTGCGACGCAATCGTCGATTCATAAAGGCGGCGCGAGCGGACAATTTGCACGGCGCGGCGCGGAACTATGTATTCGAGCGAAGTTTTCCTGCGCGCCGTTACATCATTCGTTGTCTCGCCGTTTCCTGCGGCGACCCCGAAGATCGGCGGAAAGGTGGGGGGTGTGGACGCGACGATTGTCTCGTTCCGGTTGAACAACCCTCGCCGGCTAACTTCGCTATCGAACGAGTCGCGGCTTCATTCTCGAAGAAGTTGCTCCTGCCCTCGGAACTTTGCTCGCAGCTGACTTTGCTAACCGAGCAATCGTGAATGCATTATGTTCGTGTTATTCATCGCGAACTTGACAATACAAAGAGAATCCTACGATAACTTCTTGTCCGCCGCGACTGGATCAAGAAACGGTTCGAAGCGAAATTTCTCGTATTTAAAGATGTCACGCGGTTTCGGATATAACCTATAATATGTAGTAATAATAGATAAGATTCATAACAGATCGCTTTTTGTCTTATAAATTTCTAACAGTATAGCACGAGGTGTGGTAGCAAACTTTCCTTGATCCTAGAACAAATAGTACTCGTATCTACTACGGGTAACATTATGGGATTGCGGGCAATCCAGAATAAAATCTTATATAATGCTTAAAATATTATTTATAATTTTCGAGATACGATAATAATAATAATAATAATTATTATTGTTATTATTGTATCTTGAAAATTATAATAATAATACTAATAATTATTATTATATCTTGAAAATTATAATAATACTAATAATTATTATTATATCTTGAAAATTATAATAATAATACTAATAATTATTATTATATCTTGAAAATTATAATAATACCAATAATTATTATTATATCTTGAAAATTATAATAATAATACTAATTATTATTATATCTTGAAAATTATAATAATACTAATAATTATTATTATATCTTGAAAATTATAATAATANGTTATCAGAAGAAGATCAGAATTCGCTGAATTACTTCGATTACATTTTTCCGAAGCGGTTTCCGTGGAATCCGCGCGCCTAGATCGTTCTAAACGCGTTCTAAATTTCGCGAGAAGCGCGGACCGTTGATAATAAATCCACCAGTTCCACCGAACTATGCGATCCACGGATCAAGACGATACACGGTTCGCTCGGTTATTACGAATTCCAAAGGCGACGATCCAAAATAAACAGCTAGGAGGTAGCCAAGAACCCTGTTCCAAGAATACCGCCAAGTAGCGATGCCTCGGTTCGATCCGTTCTGCAGCAAGTTTTCATGATCGATCGTTTCGAATCGATGATCCTGTTAATGAAGAAACGCGCGGATCCATTTTCCTGTCACCCCTTTCAGCCTTAACGGACAAAACTGTACAAATTATAAACCGTGAAAATCCCGACAACCTTATTAATTAATTTTTATCGTTTATTGCTCGATGCCCGGCTTATAGCATACATCGCATAATTAGATGGTGCGAGGTCAGAGGTAGGCAGGAAATAGGTTACATGATCTGGTCGTCGAGAGAAAAAAAGGGGCAACGAATTGGTAAATTGATTCTGACATTTGATCTTTACACGCGGTCCAACAATTTCGTTCAATAATTTAACCGTTTTCTCCGTGTTTTATACAGTTTCCTGAATATTCGAGACACCGAGTTCTCGAAGGAAGATACCTGGCAGCGTTTTTTAATGTCCGCGAGGGTTGCTAATTAGCGTGGCTCAGTGTGCATCCGTAACGTCTCTCGTTCGAGCACCACATGTGGCCGACAATGTCTTTATAAAGCCCGGTTCCCGGAACCAGACGCAACACCGTCCAGCCGTCGATGATGTCACTGGAATTTACATGTTGCGACGCAATCGTCGATTCATAAAGGCGGCGCGAGCGGACAATTTGCACGGCGCGGCGCGGAACTATGTATTCGAGCGAAGTTTTCCTGCGCGCCGTTACATCATTCGTTGTCTCGCCGTTTCCTGCGGCGACCCCGAAGATCGGCGGAAAGGTGGGGGGTGTGGACGCGACGATTGTCTCGTTCCGGTTGAACAACCCTCGCCGGCTAACTTCGCTATCGAACGAGTCGCGGCTTCATTCTCGAAGAAGTTGCTCCTGCCCTCGGAACTTTGCTCGCAGCTGACTTTGCTAACCGAGCAATCGTGAATGCATTATGTTCGTGTTATTCATCGCGAACTTGACAATACAAAGAGAATCCTACGATAACTTCTTGTCCGCCGCGACTGGATCAAGAAACGGTTCGAAGCGAAATTTCTCGTATTTAAAGATGTCACGCGGTTTCGGATATAACCTATAATATGTAGTAATAATAGATAAGATTCATAACAGATCGCTTTTTGTCTTATAAATTTCTAACAGTATAGCACGAGGTGTGGTAGCAAACTTTCCTTGATCCTAGAACAAATAGTACTCGTATCTACTACGGGTAACATTATGGGATTGCGGGCAATCCAGAATAAAATCTTATATAATGCTTAAAATATTATTTATAATTTTCGAGATACGATAATAATAATAATAATAATTATTATTGTTATTATTGTATCTTGAAAATTATAATAATAATACTAATAATTATTATTATTTCTTGAAAATTATAATAACACTAATAATTATTATTACATCTTGAAAATTATAATAATAATAATTATTATTATTGTTATTGTATCTTGAAAATTATAATAATATTATTATTATTATTATTGTATCTTGAAAGTTATAAATAATATTTCAAGCATTAACATTTTATTCTGGATTGCCCGCAATTCCATAATGTTACTTGTAGTAGGTACGAGTACTATTTATTCTAGGATCAAAGAAGGATCGCTATCTCGTGCTATACTGATAGAAATTTATAATCGCAAAACGCGATCTATTATGAATCTTGTGATACCGAGGATTACCCGAGGAAAGTTCTGGGGTAAGTGCCGAGAGGTCAATCATGGTTCTCTCACCAGAAGACGTCGCCTTCCCCACTCCCTGGCCAGGTCCTACAGGAACAAGGTCGCAATTCTTTGACAAGGCGGCGTCGAGCCACTTGCCTTCTTCAGACATACGTTGTCTCAATCAGCGATCTCTGATGCCCGATAGCCGGAAGACCCAACGTGGTCTCCAATCGTAGTCCGTCTGTTTAGATTCACTTACTCCTGAGACCACGTGCGTCGTAAAACTGTTAAAGACTGTCGGTCATTCTTTCCTCTTTCTAAAACGCGTTGCCGCTAACATATCGTTAAATTCGAACTGTATCAACAATTCATACGGGCGCGATGTTTAGGTAGAAATTGTTGTTGAAGAGAAATTCGCGAAAATTCCGATGACCAGGCAGGGGCAAGCGGGATGACGCAGCTTGAATGATTGTTGCCGATGACCAATCGGAAGTAAACGGGTCGAGCGGTACGAATCAATCGGGCGTCGTCTAACAGGCTTAAAACCGTACCGAGAAATTGGCCAATCGAATTACGAGCCTCGCATCGCGAATCCACTTCGAAGCAATGGCTTGCTCGCGTGCAATCGCGACAGTTTTCTGTGCCGAGCATTACGCGGGAGCCAGGGCCGCGGCAAACGTTCGCCGAAACGATCGGAGCAATACGCCGCGTTAATTACGATCGATGAAATTAATTCGGCCGCCGGTACACCATCCGCGGAATTTTATTATCGCGTCCGGGTTAATTGCTGCGCCGCAACTGACTCTGCGAACGTTTGATCGTATGGTACAGCGATTCCCAACCCTCGGATGTACGGGCACAAGATTCGTAATGGTGAAAAGAGTTTTTTTTTTTTAACGAATCGGGGAAACATAATCAGGAAAAACAGTAAGATACAGGGTGCGACTAAAATTAATCACGTAAATCACTCTATATGGTTCTGAAACAACTTTAAACGAATTGTCCGTCTCACCGAATTGTTTATTATAGATATATATATATATATATATATATATATATATATATGTCACTTTTAACACCTTGTACTCGGATGTCGTCGATACGACGACGCTAAATTATTAATAATAAAAGGTAACCGTGTAAAATACATAAATGCAAACACAAAATCTTTTATTTATTAATTCCTATGAAATGTCACAGCAGTATAATGATTTGTGTGTATCTGAATTCAATTTTTGGTATATTAATAAACATACCAAATATATTAATAAATATATCCTTTGGTATAACGATTAACAAACTGTCTCACGAAACTTATCGATTGTAGACTAGATCCAGAGCAAATCGAGAATCGCCGGTATAGTTGATGTCGCAGCGAAATGATGGCTCCCTGGGTAATTGCAACGAATCGATCAGCCACGGGCGAATGCATAGTGCCTAGTGCCGGGCAATAGTGCCTCGCACTGCAATGAAAACGTACAATTGTGTCTTGGTCGTTCGAGTGCTTCGCATCACTCTGTTGCTTTTGTCCCTTCGATGATGATGGCCGGGTTTCCGTCGATCCAGTGCTTCAGAAGCATCGTCTATTCAACTTCCGACGAGTAATGAATACGAAGTGCAACGAAACAGACGAAGGTTGAGACGACGGCAAAGCAGTTGTTGACAACGTCCGCGTTCCGAGGGTTAATTTGCACGATAGGGCGCCGGCCACCGGTAACCCCCGCGGCATGCGACGCTCTAACACGTGCTACCGCGCGCGAGTTCCGGTCACACCGTCTCGAAACAAGGCGCCGACCGGCTCGATCGAGTTCACCGACGATAGAAACGGAGCGATCCATCGATCCAAGTTGGAGGAGAGCAATGGGGTGACGCGCGGCATTCTCGAAATACGAAAAATCGGCGATAGAAACGCGCCGGAGGAAACCGGAGGAAACGGAATCAGCGCACGCAGAGGACAGGAGAGGCGATGAGCGAAGAAGAGAGGAGAGGAGAGGAGAGCAGAGTTGCATAGTCGGATCTCGCGCGCGCGTTTGCCGGAGGGGGGAAGCGGACGCTGGTTGCAGCTCGCCAGGCGGTCGGTCGGTCGGTCGGTTGGAAGGGCGGCAAGGGGGAGGGGGAGAGAAGCAGGAGAGGAGCGCGAGAGGGGTGGGAGAGAGAGTAAGAGAGACCATGTCCTACCCCAACGAGACCACGTGGCGGCAAAGACACTTTCATCATGTAGTCCCTCGCCGGAGAGCCGAACACGTGGATACGTTCGACGCTCCCGAAGAACGTCCTCCCTGCGCGCGTGCGCGGTGTAATTCATACTGTCAAGGTCAAGCAAAGTCGCGCGATTACGGCCGAGACACCGGGGATCCGCCGCCGCGTGTTGCCCCGCCGCTACCTAATCGCGCTGACAGCCGCTCGCGCCGCTTATCCACAGCTTCGCGCCACTCTGCCACCGATATACCGACCGGTTCTAGATCGCCTCTTCCGTTTCGATCCGGGATCGAGGACTTCCGGTTGACACAGGTGCTTTGTCCGCTAAGTCTAACTCCGGTAGGTTGCTCCAGCGTTCGTTCTGCTCCCAAGTGTTCGCCTCCTCGCGCCACCTTTTTTTTTCAGTTCCCTGTTCCCTTTGATGGCTGACCTTGTGGACGTCGCTGGCGGTGCCCGGGTCCGCTTTGACCCGCCCTTTGCATACCGCCTCGAACTCTGAAGCAACGGAAGAGAGGGTTTGTCGAGAAGGCCACGGTGGTTAATCGACGAGAATAATTTGTTCATAGACAAGTTTCGCCGGATGCCAATCAGAAATTTCCGTTTTCCAAGAGTTAGGGCTATACTTGATCGGCGACAAGAACAATAGGATCATGCGACGAAACGACTATTCGAGCACTTGTGACGCGGGCAGACGGGCCGGGTGCACTTTAATAGTACACCGCCGAGGCCCATTCGCATTAATAGCAGCGCTATTAATTTCAGCTTCCCGCGCGTTAAATGTCGCGCCAGTTTTCACAGTGGCGGTCCACAGAATGTCGAGCAGCAGCAGCACTGATTTTCCCCCTCCTCATCTCTGTGGTTCCGCTGAAATTTATCGTAACACCTTAGCCCGGCAAAGTAGCGTCCGGACGAACCCAACGTTCGCCAGTAGTCCAAGCACTTGTCGATGAACGGTTCACGAATCGTGACCAGAGAGTTCTTTCATGTTCTCCCTTACTGTTTTCGGAATCCTTCTTACTGTATCAACAAAGACGATATACCCGGTGGCTTATCGTTCGATACGATACAAGCTCGTGTTACCATTATTTTGAATTCCGTGAACAGATGGTGATTAATCGCTTATCTAAGCCCGATGGACATGCTCGCCGGCGGATATTATCGGCGATCCACTACCATACTTTCGTAGCGAGAGTTTTTTTTTGTTACAGTAACAGGATGTGTCGCCGGGAGAATTCGAAATTCTAAGCCACGAAGGCTAACGAAGTGGACGAAACTATTTTCTGACTCGCTCCTATTTTTATTGCTCCAACATGTCGACCACCAAAAGCCTGAACCGCCGTCCTCAGTGAAAAATGTCTTTATTTACGAATTTGCCACTTTTCAGAACATTTTAAAGTATTTCGTACACCACGCGCGCCTTTCACCTTTCAAGCAAGTCTAAAATATTCTACACGCTTCATAGAGTTCCAAATGTAATTCCCTTTACTTGCCTCCAAAAATGGTTTTATTAATTTCACGCGTCATTCTTTCAATGATTAGAAATGTGTTAGTTCGGACAATTCGACCAAGGAAAGGGCAGCATAATCTTTCTAACGATTGTATCACGACCACCGGAAAGTTCTGTCCGTTTGTAAAATGAAAAAGAAGATAATAAACTTTTCATATACACATTTAATAATATTTATTGTACAATATAATTTCCGTCGTTACGATCTCTTGCCAGCGCGATGGTAATTTGTAAACACCATTTTCGAAAAAATCTATCTCACAAATGAACTAGTGCGCACATATTGAAACTTAACATAACATTATCAGACAGAACCTTCCGGTAGACTTGATGTTACATTGAAAGATAGTACGGAAAGAATAAGCGCATCGTCTGTGAAAGAGAAGTTCGAAAATCGCTGTTCTACTTCAACCCCCCTCCCAAGCTTCTAAAATCCTATCTGGGGGAAGGTCCAACCGGCCGAAGCGAAAGAGGCGGGAAATCCGAAAATCCTGATCGCGTGGCGTTCGATCCCGCGGAACAGGTTCATTGACTGTCTTCGTAGATAGCGGGAGAGGGGTTTCGTATCAGTTTTCCTGTAGAGGGGCGCGGGGCAGGGTAGGTTTTCGACGAGACAACGCGACGGTGTCGCGAGGTCGGCCACAGTGGGGCGCCACATTCTCGATTCATAAGGTTGAGCGTCGCGCGTCGCGGCGACGAGAATAGCAAAGAAACGGGCGCGGATCCAGAGAGCACT